TGAATTGCGTTCTTCTTCGGAAAATAAAGAACATGTGTGTATGTTTCTGTAAAAACAGTAAAACAATTATACAAATTTGCCTTTTTAAAATTGTAATTTATATTTACACCCACACCCCTTTTACTTAATTAACTTACTTATACTCGTAATTAAAATTTTGCCTATTTTTTTATTTATTTACATTACGATTTATAAAAAATATCATCATGCTAACTTATTTAGTATTAAAATTTTTATATTTATTTTAGCATAACAAAGTTTTTAAATCACATCAAGAAACAAAATCATTAATATTAAAATAAAATATGAAAATGATATTATATTAATATTATTTATTAAGTTGTGCTAAGTAAATTATAAATATTAGCTAAATAAATAAATTAAATTATATAATGTTGCATCCTGAAATATTCACGTGGCGATAGAGGAAATATAAAGTTTAACATGTTGGCTTATGTTGAAGACTCCAGCACACAATCAAAAAAAAAGGGGGGGGTGTTTATTCATAAGAGACATCAGACTTTTGTATGTAAGAAACCCTAAAAAAGGAAAATTCACAAGGCCTGCCAATTTGAATGAATCAACTAGATATTGAGTATGATACAAATTGAGTACCTTCCATTGAGAAAGAGCGCTTGTGCAGCTACGTATATATATATATATATATATATATATATATATATATATATATATAATATATATATATATATATATATATATATATATAATTGCGATTACATATAATTGGAATTGGCAGAGAATTAGTGTTGACATGTTTGTTTTGGTTGGCAAATCATGTGTCATCAAGCAATGTAGAGTAAGAAGGATCGAAGTCGACGATGAGGGCAATGTAGGCGATGGAGGTTGTGTAAAGGCCATAATGGGCGACGGTGGTCGACAAGGAATCACCTAATTGGTAGGCGCACGGTCGATCAAGACCAATTATGATCCTGCAACCAAATGAAATGTCAACATTTCTTCTAATTCCAATTATGTAATACATTCTATATATAATGTAGTTTTGAATCATCGGATAAGCGCCTTCCTCCCAAGGAAGGGCCTCATGTGTAATCGAAATAAACACTTGGTAGATCATTCAAACTGGGTCAGGCCCATATAATTTTTTCTTTTTTATGGGATTCCACGTAAAAACTCAGTATCTCTTATGCAATATTACACCCCTCTCTTTTATCTGATTGTTGCTTAGATCTTCAGAAAAAGCTAAGATTGATTAAATTCTTTATTTCTCTATCGCCACAAATATTCCAAGCATGCACAAACAAATATATATATATATATATAATATATATATATATATTAATGTCTATTAAAGTAGTGTATAAGCACTCTCGAGAAACATAGTTTTCTTAATTTATGTTAGAAAAGATAGAAGTTAGATCTTAAAATGCTGTTATAGAAAGTATGAAAATGATTATTTTTTTATTAGATTTAAATGAGAAATTTATTTTTAATATGTCACAATGGAGAAAAAGTACACATGTAGTTGATCTCAATAGTTGAAGTGTTTAGTGTATACTATAAATATTTTTTCTCTCATATATAAATTTACAAAAGGTGATTATTGTGAAAGCATGGTATATTTGGATACATTCATTGCACATATTCTTTTGTTACCAAATTGATGACAAGCTAATTTTAGCCAATTTTCATGGTGGCTTATTAGGGCTTTAGTATTAAAAGGACAAGCACTATAGTATTAAGAAGTAAGAATGCATTGAATTACCAATATACTCACTTTTATAATGGCCTATTCATTTATGGTCTTCTAAGATATAATAATAATAATAATAATAATAATAATATATTCACATGGGTGCACATAGTCATTCCATAAAAGAGCTAAAGCATATTTTATGACTTTAGACAGGTTCTTTTAGTATTTGACAGAGGAGAGTGTGAGCTAACTTTATGTAATATCAATAAATATAGCTAAGAATTTCACTTAGGACTTAATGAAAATTTCTAATCATGTTAGGCATTGGGAAAAAGCCCCTTAAGGACTTTTGTTTTATTAGTTTATTTTGAAAATTGAATAAAAAAGTGATTCATCTCTCTCTTTCAGCGGACAGGGTGGGAGTTTGGGCGGGCAGGTTGCCTGGCAGGCAGCATGGCAGGTTTTTTTTTTAAATCAATTTTTGGATATTTTTCGCCAAAAAACAACTGAAAAACACCGCCGCAAATATTTTTCCTACACATGTTTTACCGGCGTAAAATTTGCCGTCGGAAAGCAGCCGAAAATTTACAAAACCGCCAGAAATTGATCTTGGAGAAATCACTATAGGAAAATGCATCCGGTAATCATTGATTTTCCTAGTTATTTCTCCTTGTAAATAGAATGTAGCAAAAGATTGCAGTGAGCAATGTTATGAAAAATCCCTTATGAATGACCTCAGCACCGACAATAGACTTGCTAGATCAACCACTCAACATCATGTACGTCGTTTGGCCAACACTAGAGAAGAACCTCCTTGCAGTCAAAGACACCTGCCCATTGGCCAGTAAGCTAAGAGCACAAGCTAAAAGCATGCATATATGAAGCAAATAAGATGTAGAAAGCCTACAAACTCCATCCATCAAACATTAAGTGTGTTGAAGTTCTTTATAGGGGTTTTTTCCCAATTGTTCTCAAATATGTGAAGGTTGGAGTCTACATAGAGGTGCCAATTTTTGACACGACCCGAACCCAACCCAGAAAAATTCGGGTTAGGGCCAACCTGGACCCAAAACGAGTCGGGTACGAGTTCAATAAATCAACCAGTTTTAAAAATCGGGTCAGGTTCGAATTGACCCAGTACCCGAAACTGACCTGAAATTGACACGAAAATTAGTTTTTATTTGTAAAAACTTCATGTGAAAAAGTTTAGAGACTACTTCATTCTTCGATGAAGCTTGGTTATTGATCTCCTAGAGCTTTAATGAGCCCTTATCTTTTTACACTCACATTACTCATCATTCCTAGTACAATTTTAATTTCCTCTATACACAAACTAAATCTTAAACTCTATCAAATCCAACAAATTTGACCTTTTTAAAACTCTCCGCAAAAACCGTAAGATATCAAAACGAAAAATCTAATATAAAGAAAAAATCTTCTATTATGAGCAACATGATTAAAAATATCAGAACTTCTTAACCACTAAACTAAAATGTATAAAATATCATAATTAATCCTCTAATATCCAAAATATGTGATCTACAATTTATAAATCTTTTCTCTAAGAAAAACTTATCTTCATACATCATAAAAGTTTCAATACAAAATCCATCTAAACCTACACACTCTTTTCATTGCTACTCACATAACCCTTCCACCACTATCCTAAAGAGAAATCTATCAAATTGATATCTTCACTATAAAAATACTATAGACTCCACATTTTATTAGTATCAGAGCCAAGAACTTCAAAAAAAAATCAAAAGTTAAGAAGCTTGATGTACAAATCAAATGCAACAAAAATAAGATAATCATAGAAGGATTTGATTTTTCAAGCTAAAAACATTTGAAGTTTTTAATAACCAAGATTTTTTTTTCTTCAACTAAAGTTACTATTGATATCCAAAAATTTTGAATTTTTATTTGACAATTTAGTAATAAAAAAACTTTAAAAAAATTGCATATTGCTTGATAACTCCATTAGAATTTACGTTTATCAAAATTGTTATCACCACAAATATAAAAAAAAACATTGCATGTTATTTGAAAAAACCCACCATAACCTAAAACTATCTTGAAATTTTTTGTGTTTCACAAATTAAAGTATTATCTTAAATTACAATTAAGATGAACTAATTAAAAATTATATTTCTAAGATCACTATTTGAATATTACAAAATTTACGCATTTATTACCATTTCAAAGGATTGCTTTCTTGGCCAAATTTATAAAATATAGGGAAAAAATATTTTTGCTATGCAATAAAATATATTATAGTAATATTAGGAATGATCTTTCTTTATTAGATTTAAAATATATTATAGTAAACTTGTTATTTTAAAATCAAATAAAATTTTGTCAAAAAGTCTTTAAGTTATCTAAAAAAAAAACTTCGGAAGCTAGTGATCTTACATTCTCTTTTCCTCTCTCATTTAAAGTCTTTTCTCTCTCTCCCTCTCTCATATTCCCTCATTCACTACTATATAGAAAAAGCATTACACCAATGATATCAAGATGCCTCAAAAAAAAAAAAAGAAAAAGCCTCCTCAAGTTATCACTCTAGATTTATTTGAAAATTTTCAAAATAGTAACAACTTTCATAAAATCATAGAAAAATTTGAATATTATTTATAAAAATTTTAATATTTTAAAGTATTTCCAAATTACTTTGCCCTAATGATTAGGAAACAAAAACTGAAGCACTCACAATTTATTAAAAATTTTAACATCATGGCCATAATCACAGACATCCTTAAAATGAAAAGATTATCTATAAAACTAATGCAGCCAAAGTCTTTTGACAAAATTAAAGTCCTTAAGCCCTATTCACCCATTCTTAGGTTGCCTAATCTCTTGTGATGCCTCTAAACAGGCATAAACTAAAGTGATCAATCAAAACAATATTCCATTGCTTACTTATACTAAAAATGATAAGAGGCAAAATAATGCTATTTTATTTATAATGGATATTTCTGCTCCAACATCCAATCCCTTTAAACACTAGAGACACTACCTAATGAACAAAATTGTTTTTTTTTTTTTTTTGAACGAAATATTCACCCGCTGCTACATCCAAAAGGGCACTCAGCGACGTGACTAATTCTCGACTAACCTAGAAGAGGCATCCACCCCTGAAACCTCCTGACAGCACTTAATTGGCCCCACTTAAGATGCGCTGCCGCTCGAGAGGAATTGAGCACGGGTTGAGGGTTCTCAACCGTACTCGCCCACCAACCAAGCTAAACATTGGTAACTCAGGCCTATGCTACTTTTCTCCTTGTTCTCCTTTTCTGCTTGTCCTGAACTCGGTACCTATCTCTTCGCTCCTCTCTATTACGTTTCTTCAGCACCTGCTCCGTCTTGGCCTTCATGGCTTCATATTCTTTCTTCTTCTCCTGTTCCTTTAGCTGACGCTTCCTCATCTGTAACGTGTACAAGTATACAAAATAATGGCAGCCCTAACACTACTCAAGATCGTACTATTCAAGCAAAAAATTGTATACTGAGCATATAGAATCCTCAGCTTCTCACAGAATACCTTTTCATTCTTGATCAACTTAAGGTGTTGGATAATGGTATGAACCTTCCGCTCGTGAGGTTCCATAACAACCGCCCTGCGTTTTTCGAGAAGGGGACGTTTCTGAGCAGGTTTGTTCTTGGGCTTTGAAGCAAATGGCAAGTCTGCTTGCAATTTTTGTGGGATCACCAAAGGATTGAACTTCCTCGGCCGGCGCTCAATAGGCTGCGTTGAAAGGTAAGAAAAACAATTATGTAATGGAATACAAACATCAATTTTTATTTCTTATTTTAATATTAAAAATAATAATTTTGATGGTGGTCACTAGATTGGCAACGACATTAGGGCATCTCCAACCGAAAATCTCATTTTTCACTCAAAAATGTCGTGTTGTGATTCATCTCCAATCGAACTCCATTTTGCCCCCTTTTGGGAAGGTAACGGTCGTTCTCTTCTTTGGCGCGTTTCTTCCGCAAGTTCGGTGGAGACAGAAAAATAGCAGAGATGAACAATGCAACGCTAATATTGGCGTCCCACTGTTCACCCGCAACCAAATAGAGGAAGTTTTACCGTTCAGTTGGAGCTCGCGAGCGACGCCATTCAAGTATTTGGAGTTCAGTCGGAGATGCCCTTAGCTAACAACATGATAACAAATTTGGAGTTTGATGGCGGTGGCGGTGACAGTAGAAGATTGAGTTCTTAAAAACTGTAAAAAAAAAAAAACCTCCATGAAATTCAGATGAAATGTGAAAACCTTATAGGATGAATCCTTGTTGTAGGGAACTGGAATGTTATTCTCCCTGCGGAGCTCAGCGACTGTTTTCATGCCAGTCCATGGTTGATCCCGGGACTGCAATGAAGTTGTTACTGGATTAAAGAAGCAAGGGATGTCGACTTGAGTCCAAGCACGCAAGAAAACAATGTCGCTCATAAGAATCCTGTCCTCAAATGTGCATCTAGCAATTCCTTCTTTTATATTTCCTCCCATTGTCTTTGGCCTGTTGCCTAATTCTGCCTTCACAGCCTGTGTCATGGAAAAGAAGCTGATTACATCTCCAAGTAAAGGCTAAACAACACAAAAGCTAAGCAGCATCAAATTAAAGATGCTCATAATAGTATAATACTGTAGGAAGAATAGCCTTACATCATTGTGAGGCAAAGCAAAGGTAAGCTAACAAAAAAACCTAAGCAGATATGGCTGCAACACAAACATATAACAGCAGGAGATAAATGCATATAGAAGGCTGTCCAACTGGAGAAATTATTACGTGTGGAGTCCGGTTATGTCCGGATTCCAATAAAAACGTGACATGTGTCCTTGTACATAGTGTGTACAACTATACACACTATATACAAATTACAAAATTACGTACACAGTGCGTACAAACTTTTTTTATACATAATATATACATTATGTATACTGTGTGTATAAATTTGTATACATTGTGTACAAGGATACATGTTACGTTTTTATTGGAGTCCGGACGTAACTCTACGTCCAAACTCCGCACATAATAATTTCTCCTCCAACTGATATTATGCAAAGAATTATTAGATTTGGTATTCATCATAAGAATACACTTCATCTCGAGACTCTCATCAATTTTCCCCATGCTTTTTTCCTTTTGGCTTTTGGTTTCGATTGCTAGTTTCATTATTGACAATATTTCAGAGAAAAAAAAAAAAGAGCCTATGCCAATCAAGTGGTCTGCTTCAATTGCCAAAAATAAAAGACATAAAAAGAAAATATTAGAATGCTTACCTTCTTGACCTGTCCTCTGATACCACTCACAGTTCTAACAGCAGCACCTTCAAACCTAGCAATTTCCAAATCTGATGTGAACATGTCCTTGATTAAAGCTGTTTTCTTAAAGATCTTGCAAGGATAGCCAACAAGCTTTATCTTCTTCATCATTCGGGCAGCATGATTAAACTCAAGCACCACACCAGTTGCCGTAATTCGGAAAGATGCCTAAAGGGCAGAGAAAAATTCACAATCAGTAATTCATGGCATTCAGTTCAGTCTACACATTTATTATGTTCATTTCTCATTAGCATTTACTAATATAGATGGACAACAAGAACTCGCCTAGCAGATTGGACTTGCAAGGCCATAAGGCAGGCCTGGCAAAAGCATATATTATGCTAAATTTGATGGCAACTGAGCAAGAATACAAAAAAAAATCTATTATCTTAAAATATATGCAGATCAAAATACATAAATGAATGTAAAATTTTGAAGGATACATGGTCGAAATGATGTTTGCACTTAAACAAAGAAAGAAGCTCCTATAGTAGCATTTGAACTACACATTAATAGAATTACAATGAAAAAATATTCATGTATATTTATAGAAAAAAAGCTCGAAAATTGAGCTGACGAGCTCACACCTACGCTTAAACTTGACCCTTCAGGTAGGCATGGGCAAAAATAAAAATTTTCAAAAGTCCATTGTACCCAGAAGTTCATAGTACCATCATGAACAAAAGCCCGCTTTACTCGCTAATAATAAAATGGTAGAAATCTAGAGGAAAATAACTGAAAAGTACTTTACTGGTAAGTTCTAGATGAACAAAATAGGAAAATACTGGAACGTACTTTATTAGTAAGTCCGACTGTCCGAGACGAGTAAAGCAGCCTCTCAAATATGTCGGTGTAAGAAATTACAAACCCGAACTCGTATAACACACTCACAAGAAAACACCCAAACTAGTATGATTGGTGGTAAACTCACCTTCAACCAAACAACATATTATCCCCCTGCTTCTTACCATCACTTACAACTAATCATTGACAGATGAAAAAAGGTTAATGGTTAAAAGTTTTTTAATGTAATTAATTTAATGTGTAATGTGAATACATGTAAAAAATTGAGGATTTATAGAATGCAAGACAATAGTTAATTCAACATATTATTTTCTTTATATATATATAATACTAGAATTATAACTTAAATGATAAAAAATTAATTGGTGCAATCAAAGAAATTAAGAGAACTAAGCAAGTCATTATGTTGATGAAATAAAACAAAGAACAATTTTATAATGAAAAATTAAACCTCACACCACTACAAGGAGATGGCTTACCTAAAAATTAGATAAGTCACATTTGTACTATTCTCAAAGAAATCACAAATTTAACTTGTATTCACAACTTAAACTAGAAAGAAAAATTTAATTCAAGCCAAAAGTTGATCATTACATGTCACAAACCAACTATTTATAGACTTCTCATCTCCTAAACTAGTAAATGTAAATTCGCAGAACATTCAACTTAATCTATCTTAAAAAAAAGATCCCAAAAGATAATAAAAAATCCAACTTTTTAATTTCAAATCCCAATTCGTCCCATAAGCTACTGCACATTGATTTCAAATCCCAACAGTCTAGCCAATGATGTATAGAATAGCAAAAATTCTTCAGGAGTCAAGTAGTCACGACAGATATTCACATTATGTCAATAACTTGAGGCTCAGAAAATACTCCCAACAGAACCCACAAATTAAAATTTCTGAAAATCTGAAATTTCAGCAACGTTGTTACTGCACAGCCACAAGAATCGCAAGCAGCAACTCAATTCCACAGCGAATACACATAATTCTAAAGCTACAGCTAGCATCCACCACCCAAAGCAAACCCCCAAAAGGAAAAAAAACCAACAGCCACTGCCCAAGCCCCACATCATTGACTAATAGGAAGTTCCATTTTAAATTTTTTTGAACTTCTAAATTGGCCGAAGAGCTTCTTCAAGAATATGTGCCCAGGCTACCTAGAAAATAATGGCCTTTCATTCTCTCCTCGTTCACTGTTTAATAAAACAATACTACCAAGTTATTAGCTCAGCATTCTAATTTGTGTTTCTTTTTCCGAAAGAACAAAATAGTCCTCGACAATATAAAAGTATCAATCTGATCCTCTGACTCTTTAAATAAGGACCAAATTTATAAGTAGCAAATTTGATAAGCAAGACTCCTTTTCTGCACACTTTCTTCAAATTTAATCATCTCCATTGACTTGTAACAAACCAAATCAACTCCACCCTTTATTTCTTATCAATCTTTAACATGTGCAGCTTTTTACATACCGCATACTTGTACACATACACTAAAACCTGCAAGTCATAGTCTGGAATTATTATGAGTTTCTATAGTTACATTTCTTCTCTCTGCTTTGGTTGCCGAACTCTGTTTTTCTAACATGCTTACAGGTTCCGCAAGCTTCCACTGTTAGAGAGAACGCTCTTCTCTCAATTGGTTTTCACAAATTAGTTCTTCCGTGGGATTATTTAGGTCTCTATTAAAAATTCAAGTGATTAAACTGACATTTTTAAATAGACAGCGGCCATTTTAGTCCTTTACAAAAATTCAGGAGATCATTTTGGTCAAATGCGCCGTACAATTCAGTTTCAAAGATAATGCTAGAGATTTAGTTTAAGTGTAGAGAAAAAACAACTAACAAAAAAAATAAGAATGACAACAGTTTTATCATCTGAGAGATCCACGTAATGGAGAAAGGTAAATAAGGCAGTGATGACACAACAAAGAGGTGCAGAGAATGATTTTTTCCCAAATGGTCACTATAAGTGGATTCAAAATAAGAAATGATATCCTTTCGGAAATAGAAATAAATAAGCCACCTAGATGTATCTATACTACCATCACACATCAAGTTGGAATACAAGTTGACCGAGGTGTCCACAACTGAAGAAAAACATCAAAACAATCAATTTTTCATTAGAACCTGCACATAAAAAGCAAAATTTTCTCGAGGAAGAAATAAATTTAAGTAACTAATTTGCACGCGACATAGTAATGAGTTCTAGGGAAGCTTTATACTACAGATATTTGGTACTTTGTGTAGAAAAATATAAATATGAGCAAACTACTTTGAATTTTATTGCTCATCTCTTGTAAACAAATTAGAGGAATTTATAGACTCCAAGGATATCACATATGAAAAAAAAAATGCAAGTTGCACAAAATAAATAAATAAATAATTTAAAAAAGAGAGGCCGGTGACTAGGTGTAGAGAGAGGAGCACGTGGATAGCAATCAAATGATTAAGAGAGAGAGAAGATCAAATTGTTAATCTCTTCAATCTGAGTGCTCAATAAATCATATTATGATTCACTATATCGGAGGACCCACAACTATTCTACCTAGGGCAATATTTTGGGATGGATGAATGCAAGGAGGTGGAGTGGGTCCCACCCCACGATGTGAGAGCCCATGTCATCACCCCTCCCCCCCCTTCTTCAAACTTGATGGTGCAAATCTATCATTTCATATTTTCTTATAATATTCTTGCATGGGGTTGCAAAGTCCTTTGGTGAATATATTGGCAAGTTGATTTCATGTTGATATATATGAAATATAAATCAACCCACTCTTCAATTTCTCTTCTATGAAATATCTATCTATTTCTACATAAATGATACGAGTATCTGAATTATCTAACTTTTTTAGAGAATTACTTTTTCAAAAATTGATTTGCGAATATTTGCTTAAGGGGATAGATTTGAGCCCACCTTAATTGACATAGAGCTTTGTGTCCTATTGGTCATATCCTATTAATTCATTACTCAAAGATTTAATATTGTTGGGGAACATGCGGGCACTGACCATGACCGTAATTTAATGGTGTCATTTAGTGGCAAGACCCCCTGGTTAGAGGGTCCAAGTTATAAATATTTACATGTGGTGTCATTTTACGACGAAACCACTAGTTAGAGGGCACGTGCCACTTTGTTACAGGCAGGTGACGATTTAAGAATGAATTTTAGTGATATTCACGACTAGACATTAGCTCTTTGTGAGCTAAAGTACTTTTCAATTGAATATATTTAATGAGAATTTGGAGGCACTTTGAACGTTTGGGTCTGTTTCAGTTGAGATTTTCTGTCAACATAACCATCATCAAGGATTTTATGGATAATATCATCTCATTAATTAGACCTTGTCGACTCCATTTACTTGCAAATAGAGAATTGGGTCGAGCTCCTAATTAATGAAATTATTGTGCGGATGCTGGAAACCGGGATATTCATTTAGATATGTGAATTTTTTTGTAAGAGATCATGAAGGCCTAATATGAACGTATAAAATCAAATACTTCGGTAGGCATTACGACCATGTATATGTTCCATGATTCAGGGCGTGCTGAGTCTGCCTATTTGCTGACGGAGAATTAGGCTTGAACTTAAATTCATTTCTTGACCCGCACGGCATCCTCAGACATCACATGTGTACGTACGCCATGCTCATCGAGGACCATGCAGGTATATACTTTTACATGCATTTTGCATGATGCATTTGTATGGTGGCTATTTATATGCAACGCAAGAGGTATATATAACATAACTATGTGTTTGCATATACACTGATATATTCACTTGCATGCTGACATGTCCAAGTATGAAATTGTATATTTATATTTATGCATGTATGTTGACATTGCATTTGCATAATGCTTAATCGTGCTTTCATGATATGTTGATATGTTCTTTGGCAGCTTAATGTATAAACATAATGTATGATGTATTTGCACTGCATCTTGCATGATATTTTGATATGCAATGTAGTATCATGCTACATTAACATAGCATATAGTGTATTTATATGATATGTATGTATAATGCATCCGTGCATTGTCTGTTTGCATGCATAATAAATTTGCATGACGATTCAGGACTTTTATGCAGTGCATAATGTATTTGCAAGTCAGCATAGTGTGCTGCCACTACACGAAGTATTTTACATGTTGGATAATATGCTTGTATGATGTGTTTTGTATTTTGCAATGTGTATATGCATGATGTAAATGCATCATTGTGCATTTCAATGCATGGGGGTGTTTTGGCAATATTTGAATATGCTTAATTATGCAAGCGATCATCATTTAGAAGATGCATGAGTTTTCTTAAGGGGCTTGCGAAAGCCTTCTGTCAACTTGTGTGAATTTTACTGATCCAATGGCATTGTTTAGCTCATTTCATCTTTTGCATGTTATTTTCTCCGAATTTAACTCATAGGAGTATATCTCTTCCTGCAAATGCACTGTACTATGCATTAGGAGTCCTCCACATTTCATTTATAAATGAGCTAATATATTCGGTGCGATGACCCGACGTTAGCAGTTTCCTATTTCTATCTATCAGCAATCCAAAGTCTTCACTACAAACTCCCTACTTCTGCTTGCAGGTGAGTCGTAGTGTTTCGCTACGGATTGCTTGTTGCTACTTGTAGGCAAGCGATCGTGCTATACGATCTTTGTTGAACTTGTCTATAGGTTGTCAGCAAACATCCATAAATCACCAGTTTAGCTCATGGATAGACCGCTACGTACATGACGAATCTCCTACAGCGGCTCGTAGATGTTTTGCATTTGCCATAGGTTTTTTGCTTTTGACGGTGGATAGTATGTTGTGCTAATCTTGTTCATGTTTACAGAAGACCCGTCGCATTGGTTGCATGTTACCAGTAGGTGGACCCCTGTGTGTATTACAAGTGCCCATATGAAGGTACCATATTTTCTACGAAAGATCCTGTGCACATTTGCAGGCCGTTATGCATATTATGGATCGCCTACCATTGCTTGCAAGTGTCGCTACTTCAATCTACAAGCAGGTTGTCGTATGCATACTAAACCTGCTATTGCTACTTGTTGATGTTTGCATTCATTGCAAGTTCATCTCCTTTGTTTGTAAACAACGCACTGTGTTCATATGGAGGAGTTATCACACTCGTTGCATATCAGTTGTCATTGATTGCAGAGAATTATCGCTTTTCTTGGAGGTTTGATTGTTGTTGACTTTACGAGTGTCCTTGCATTTATTGCACATGATTTGTTGACAGCCATAAGTAGGCTAATATATGCATATGTAGTTCTCTTATTTGTATTTATAACGAGCCCATTGCATTCATAGTTTATCCACTGTCGTCTCTTGTAGGTGAACTAGTGTATTCATTTGCAAGCTAACTAATGTTGAGCATAAGAAGGTTGTCACATTCGTTGCATGTTCTCCATGCTTTGCTCGTAAGTATATTATTGCATTTATAACGAAGATCTTGTAAGCACGCATAAGGAATAAAATTGTTTGCGGGCAGGCTAGCACACTTTCTTGGAATTGAATGGCATTGACTGTGTACAAACTTCATGTGCTTTGAACTTCATCAAATGCATCAAATTATTATGTTCATTGTACAATGACCTCCTCCGCTTGCAGGGGATCGATATGCTTGCTTTCATGTTGACTTGCATTGAATGTGAGAGGACCAAGCTTCATCATGAACTTGAGATGTTTCTCCGATGGATTAGTGCATTAATCAAAATTCCTTTTTTGTGGGGTTTGCAAGTCACTTGTCCTAGTTGCAAATTGGTAGATTGAATGTCACAAGCCGCTTTAATTTTCATTATCCACCATTCGTGTGCATTGAGAGTTTGTATGCCATTTATTTTGTGCTTTGTTCATTGATGTTTATTCGAGTGACCTAGACTATCGGCATTTTTAGTGCGATTGTGCATTTATTAATTCAGAGACTAGTTCCCTATTTATTGACTTGCAAATTTTGCTCCCTGTTATTTGTTCAAGTTATATTCCCTGTGGTTCTATTTGCAAGTTATGTTCCTTGTCAATTAGCTTAAGTCAAGTCCCATGTTTGCTGAAAAATTCAACAACCTCCAGGCATCTCCCAGTTTAGGAGAATTTTCAGGAGTCTTAGCCTACCCACCACGTCAAGAAAAACATGCATAATCGGCGTCAGGCGACATCACGGTCGTGGTCTTCAATCTCACCACGCCAAGAAAGGCATGCACTGGTCTTTAGGAATACCTATGTGAAAATGCGTTATTTTTCTCTGCAGGTATAAAAGCTCGTACATGAGTACTTTATTCTTACACCGTCACACTAAGAAAAGCGTGCAAAATGCTTACATTTTATCAAGGGTATGAGGATCGAATCACATAAATCTCTCTTTTCATTTCCTTTTCTCCTCTCTTTTTTTTTTCCTCGCGCCCCCCCCCTCTTTTTTTTTTCCCCGCCCCCCCCCCCCCCCGTTTTATTTCTTTTCTCCTCTTTTTTGTCTCTTTTTTTTTTTAATGCTTCACAATTTAGAAGCATCGGAATATTTTTTATTCATTCAAATAATATGAGGCTAGTAGCCCCTAGAGTTCTCCCATAATTTAATTTTCATTATTCATGATGCACTCCTTGAAAGAGAAGTCAAGAAATCCAAATCTAACGAAGAGAAGGAAAAATTCCAACAAGAAAAAAGAGAAAAAGAGAATTGAAGTTAGAAGAATGAAACTCTAAACCTTGCTCCAATATTATATTAAAAAATAAAAATACGAAAAAATTAATATGAATTTTATTATTTAATTTTTGTACAAATATTTGACATATTTATAGGCTCCTCCAAGAATATTACATATGAAAAAAGACAAATACAATTTACATAAAATAAGTACAATAACAACAATAACAACAAGTCTTTATCCTACTACATAAGGTCAGCTACAAATCTTTTTTCTTCATTGTGTCTTGGTAAGTGTCAAATTCTAATTTAAACCTAATAAAAAATATCATTTCTAATGTTTTCTAACCAAAACTTTCTGGGTCAATTTTTACCTTTCTTAACATAGGCAAAATTTAGACAAAATAAATAAATAATCTTAGAAAGAGGGTACGATAGCTAGGTATATGCAGAGGATTATATGGATTGCAATCCAAAGGGTTAAGAGAGAGAATATCTAATGGCTATGCCCCTCAATCCGTGTGCTCAATAGATCATACAATGATTTGCTGCATAATAGGACTAACGGCTCTTCTACTTAGGGTGAAAATATGGGAGGGCAGATGCAAGGAAGTGAAGGAGTGGGGTCTTCAACACATTGCAATATAGTTATTTCAGGATGACAGCCTTGTCATGGAAAGAAGGGATCCTTGAAGAGGTATAGTTCCCATGGGTTGGCTACATGACAAAATCCACCTTTTTATCAGTAACAATATTATAATGACAAATTGGCACAAATCAAAGTAGTTTAAAAAGGAAACTGATCAAAAAGAAAATAAACTAAAACTGTTTATGTACATAGGATTAATCAAACAAATATGATCACATATGCTTGAAACAATAGCTTTAACCTTGAAGAAAATAATAGAAAAAATGTAGATACAAGAAAATGAAATTAATCATAGCTAAATTATGCACGGAGATACGTTGATTCCCAAATTTTTTTAGCTATCCATGCTATGTGATCAATCAAAAAATAAAGGGATGAAACTACACCTGAATACAAAAGCTAAAGCATTTTCAAGGTGAGTCTAAACTGAAGCTACATGAATAAAACCTGCCCAAGAAAGAGATCCAAATGGAACCCAATGGCATGGCTACATTTTTCATGGATTCGTTTGAAACAATGACAAAAATCATTTAAATTTGTATTTTGAAATTCATGAACATGTGATAGGCAGTGTTAAAAATAAGAAGTAACTTTACTCATTCACATGCAATACCTGATTATTGGACAAGTTTTGCACGGCAATTATTCCAGCAGAGGGAGGTGCAAGAGGGCCCCAAAACATTGCAAAACAGTGCATATGCTCGGGTGTGTACTTCAGCATGCGATGTCGCCCATTCTGATCCTCAACGCCATAGACAGGAATCGTTTGATAACGTCTCCAACCAATTGAAACAATTATTGGATCCCTGGTCTTCAGCACCTTCTTGTGCCACCGGTGACGCTTCAGGCGAGCCTGGATGATGATGAAATTAAAAACAGAGATCAGTTGACTGAGCAAAAAAGCTTATAGATACGTGGGAAAGAAAGTAGAACACATTCAAACCTGCATGTAACCAACATTGTCTTCCCCAAGTCCAATTCCCCCAACCAGTACAGGGTGATGTGGATTGAAATGTTCAACCAATTCAAATGGAACATTATGAACTTCCAACCTCAGGTATGTTCCAGTTCTGAAGCCCTCAACCTCTACACGAGTAGCCTCATCAAGCTCATTGAGTTCAGATATGTTCATCTGTTTACGAAGCTCCATCTCTTCTTTCATCTGCAGATTTCAGATATGCTTCTCAGATTCACGCAAAAAGCTAAATTGTCAAACAGTACCAGAACTTGCAAACTTGGGTTGGCATACTAAAAGAGTCTCATAAAAAAGATTTTGAGAATTTCTTTTAATTTGTGAGGGCAGAAAAAGAAAGAAAGGTGGTGGAAGTGTTGGTACAAAGAGTGTGTGAGAGAGAAAGGGAGAGAGAGAGATAGAAAACAAGAGAGAAAGAGAGGGAACATCAAACATTCAAAAGAGCATATCTTGTCAAAATTGAGAGAGAGAGAAAGGGAGGGAACATCAAACACTCAAATGAGTATACCTTGTCAAAGTAGCTACCAGTATTGGCACCAACTGAGGAAATATTTTTCCCTTTAGCCTTATCATCTTCTTCATCCGATATCTCAGATTCATCATATGTATGCCAGAGTCAAAGAGATTCCAAACATGAAGAACCGACTACATCAAGATAAAAGGACAAAATACGAAGGCAAAAAAAGATGTTTATCCCACTCAAATTAGATAGATTACCATCTTCTTCATCCGATAGCTCAGATCCATCATACGTATGCCAAATTTAAGGAGAAGTCAAACATAAAGTAATTACCAAAAATGATCCTATCGCAGTCTAATCATATAAAAAGAGAGATACTAGTTGTAAGCATAAAATGATGATGATATTGATAGTAAAACATATAAATAAGTCCTGAAAAATGAAGAAAATTAATATTTGTTGTCGACGCCGCCGCTATCGACAAAAAACTCTCTCCGGTTCAGTGACGGATCGTTTCCAAGTCCTGAAAAGGGTGAATTTCTCCTCCAAGTATTTTGTTTTTCTAAGCCTTCCCGTTATTTTGCTGCATCATAAAGGTTGTGCAACCTATCTCCGTTTAGCCTACATCAAAAGTGTGAGTGAGTGGATCCAATTAATGCATAATCTATATGTTAACATAGGGATTTCCTTTGAATTATGTCATGCTATGATAATTGTGATTGGAATTGATTATTCATGGTTATAACTTTTATATTGTAATTTGGCCTAAGCATAAATCATCTCCTTATTGTTTTAATATTTGTTTAAATTGCTAAAAGTAAACGTAATTATTGTTGCTCTAATAAAAAGATGTGCATTTTCAGCATTACATAATTACTCACACATTTAGTTCTACATTACTTATACTTTACGGCTAGGATTTCATAAGTAACTATTTTCTAATAGAACAAATTATCATTATAATATTGAGATGAACCAAATTACAATGCCCATTTCAAACTAGATACTTCTTACATGTCACTTTAGAAACATAGTTTTCTAACCAATAAAGTTGCAGTAGAAACTAGCTTTTTTAAACTACTGTAGAAAGTACTTTCTTAGTGCAAAAAGCTTTTTTGAAAGCAGCAAAAAGTTGGGGTCAAACAGAAATTATGATTGTGATTTGAAAAACAAAATAATAAGAAAATTATCCAAAATGAAGCCTTAGGTATTGTGTTACATGGATAGAACCATCAACACCAACTCGACACAACCGAAAGACTGCAGTTTTTTTGTTCTTGTATTGGATATTTTCCAGTTTAACGATTTTGATTAGGTTTTTACATGTATGAAATCAAACCAATTGAAAAACCGATGTTCTCATATGCATAGTAACACCTACAGTTTTCTAAAGTTAATTACCGAACAAAGGTAATTTAAAGCAATAAATTTCATTTATAATTATTTTACCTTGAATTAGTAATCAAATTTAAAATTCAGAAGTCTTACTGGTGCTTAAACTGTTGACTGAATGGCTTCTAAATCGAATTCAAATCTCAGATTTATAAAATTCAGTTTTGGATAGTTCTAACTGAGCAACTTCATGAAGTTTAGTTGGTTCAGTTTTGATTTTAAAGAGGTATTCAATCAGTTGGATTTTTGGATTAACATAACAAAAAACAATTGATTTCAAAAAGCCAAAAAACTAAATTGATCACACCCATACTTTAGATTATACTAATGATACCAAAATTTGTTGAAATCTAGCCGTTCCGGTGCAAAGGAACCAACGGTCACAGAGAACAATCCGTGGGAAGCTCTCATGAATCACACTAGAGATAATTGACTCCTTTCCATAATGAAAAAACTAACTTAGGAAAGAGTATATTAGAGATATTATGTGTTAAATCTGTAATTAATTGTTTCTTTATTGAGATATCTCATATATATCTATAAATAGGGAAGAAATTATGCACTAAAGCTAAGCTTTTCCCTCTCAAATTTCTAGTTTAACATGGCATCAGAGCCAACGACCTTCATTGCCAAGGAAGAAAGATCGTAGATCGCCGAAGGACAAGAAGAAGAAGAAGCGACTGGAAGACAAAGCCGGAAGCCGAAGGAGGAAAAGAAGAAGAAGCAGGGATCGGAAGAAAAAACCGTCGGCATGCAAAAGACGACCGGAAGATGAAGCCAATCGCAAGTACCTCACACACCATCGGCACGAAGAAGTCAACCGGAAGTCGAAGCCGAAGTACGACACCAAGGCTCCCGCTTGCAGCTGGAGAGGCGGAACCATGCGTGCCCTAGTTACCCGAACCAAGTCTTTTAAGGACTTGGCTCAACCTGTTACCTAAACCCGAGAAAAAAAAATTATCATTGACCTGTATTATCGATCAGAAAAAATTATTTTTTCGGGAAGCCTTCATTGCTACCCAAGGTCATACAGATAGTCTTAATTACTATTATAATGTTAGAAATTAATTCCTCTCAGAGCATTGACCAAATTTAGGAGTCTATGGTGCACCAAGGATAAGGTGCCTCCAAAGCATGCAACCTTCCTATCGCCTAAATGGGAAGAACTACCTAAAGTGGTCTCAATTTGTAAATACCTACTTAAAGGGGAAAAGAAAAATACACCACCTCCTCAGAGGATGACCAAAAGAAGGAGATCCTAATTTAGGGCATGGGATGAAGCAGACTCCATGATTATGTCATGGTCGTGGAATTTGATGATTCTAGAAATTAGCGATACATTTATGTTCTTCTCCACTGCAAAGGACATATGGGATGCCGCCAGACAAACTTTCTCAAAAGCTCGGGATGCTGCTCAAATCTTTGAAATCAAAATTAAAGTAGAGAGCACAAAACAAGAAAGCAAGATCGTGATTAAGTATGCCACCATTCTACAAAATCTATGGCAAAAACTTGACCACTATAGATGCATAGAAACAAGATATCCAAAAGATGTTGCGATCCTAAAGAACTTTATTGAGAGAGATAGAGTTTATGATTTTCTTGCATATTACATACAGTATTTGATCAAGTCAGAGTCCAAATCCTTGACAAAGAGGAGACGTCATCAGTAAATGAAACAATTGCTCTCATTCACGCTGAAGAAAACTGATGAAGTGTAATGCTGGAACCAAAAGTCGTTGAGAGCTCAGCAATGATAACCAGAGAAGCTCCATGGAAGGAGAATGGTAAGGACTCTGCAACTCAAAAACAAAAACTCTCTTTGGTATAGTTATTGCAAGAAGCCAAAACACACAAAGGGAACGTGCTGGAAAATATATGGAAAACCCCCCAGTAAGGAGTAGAATCAAAGAAGTGAAATAAAGAGCACATCCCATGCCAACAATACAACAAGTCAACCCAACCCAGAAACACAGTCCAGCTTCAGAGAATTCAATAAAGAAGATATCAAAAATTAAAACAACTTTTGGTATCTTTTGAAAAACCAAATGCATCTTCTTTTAGATCCAAGAGACTCAAGTGCAATCATTAATGAATGATACAAACCAAGGTGCCCCAGAAATATTGGGGATTTTTTTGGGTCCCCATATATCACTATGAATAAAATATATGCATCCAAAACTTTTTCAGTAAGTAGAAAATAAACATTTTCATTACTAGATGAAAAAAATGCATTCTTACATGGAGACTTGGAGTAAGAGATTGATGAGGACATTTATATCGACGGCTACGATTAGGAGCCTTTATTTTTTATATATTTCATATATTAGTTTATTTTATGTCAAGTTTGACAATTGCACCTTGTTTATTATTTTTAGTTGTAGCACTAATGGCATTTTAGTCTTTTCTTTTCTTCTCTCTTTGAGACCTATATATGAGGCCCTTAGTCTTGTATCAGGGTTAATGATTGATTAATGAAAAATATTCCTGATTTTCTTCTTCTTGAGAGCTTGTGAGTTTTTGAGTGGTGAAGTCCCAAGGTGTGGGCAAAAGCAATACCCACCAATCGTTTGAAGTATCTCGAGCTCGTGGTTCGACTCCTTGCTTCAAACCACTGACCACCCCTTTCCCTCCTAGACGCCGATCTCAATCCCCACCTCCTCCAGCTAGACGCCGGCCCAACCTAGGCCTACCCTCCTCATACCCGCCGACCCATAGCCCCTCTCCCGTCCATAACTGCCAACCTAGCCCACAACCTCGGCCTCTTCTCCCTAACCCATCTCCTAGCCGCCAGCCACACCTCCATTGCCCTCTTGATGATGATTTCAATCATCATTACTACATACCTAAATTAGCCTAAATAATTTGGGGAAAGAATTGAATTCAATTTGAAATTCAAATGACTAAGCTAAATTAGGCAAGTTCCTAAATTTAAGTCTAATTTAATTTTAAATTAGATTTGATTTAATTACTCTTTTCCTAAATTAGAATCATGATTTAGGACGTTTTAAATTCCCTCCCAATTCCCCTCTCCCCCATACATGCCACCGGCCCCTAGCCCTCTCTCTCTACTTCCATTATCCGTAATTTGAATTTGAAACTCAAATTTTCAAAATTCAAACCCCTTTCCTATTTCAACTAAATCTGAAATTAATTTCAGATTTTATTTACCTTGCCATATTCCAAACCCTAACCCTAACATCACAAAACAAACCCCTCCCCTCCCTTGGCCGACCCTCTCTCCTTCTTCCTCCCTCTTGGACTTTCTTATTTCATAAGTTATATTCCAAGCGAAGAAGAAGACAATCATCCCTTCCCGACTTTCTTACTAGTGCATGGCCGATCCCGAGCATGACCACAGATTCGACTCCAACCCGCAAGGTTTAGTGGATATTCTTCAATCCCCTTTCTTCGACCTCAATTTGGAAGTTGACGACTCCGTCAAAGATTACGTCAATATCATCCTATTCACCTTGGCACCTTCTTTCAAAGAACATCTACCCTCCGGACACTGGAAAATCATCGGACATCCACCCGCATCTCCCCTTCCGACTAACTTTCCGTGGATCAAGACACTTGGCGTCCTATCACTTATGGTGACATCGTTAGGATTGCTAAGATTCTCCTTCCGCTAAACCTTTCAAAGAGCGTGAGTGAGGATAACTCAGGGTGGCTTTTATAACTGTCAAGTGGTGGATTTAAAGTTTAAAGCATTTAAGTTTATGTTTTATGATTGAAGTTATTTTTAGTTCTTGTTATTCTACAGTGTAGCTGATTTCCATAACAATATTGATAATCTTAAATTCTTAAAATCCCGTCTGGTGAAACATTAATTCACTGTTACTGTGCTTAAATCAAGTTTTTATAAATTTCTAAAACAATTCCTAATACCACCAGGATTAAAGGAAGAATCTGGAGGTGACAAAGTATGCAGGTTGAAAAAATCCCTATATGGGCTAAAACAATCATCAAGGGCCTGATTTGGAATATTCTCAAAGTTTGTGCTTCTTAATGGGAATCGACAAAGTCAAGAGGACCATACACTATTCTTTAAACACTCTGACTCAAAGGGACTCACAATATTATTAGGGTATGTGGATGATATTATCCTAACTCGAAATAAAGAAGAGGAGAAAGATAGTCTAAGAAAATGTCTTACCAAAGAAATTGACATCAAAGAACTTGGTAGATTAAAATATTTTCTCCGAATTGAAGTAATCCACTCCAACAAAGGAATCTTTTTTTTACAGCAAAATTGCATCAAAGATCTTCTAAAAGAAACAAGTAAACTAGCTTGTAAACCAACACCAACACCAGTAAAATCGAATCTTAAATTGGGGGAAGTTAGAGAAGATCTAAATGTAGATAAAGGGGCCAACCAGAGACTGGTAGGAAAATTAATCTACCTTTCCCACACCAGACCAAATATAGCATTTATTGTAAGTACGGTCAATCAATTTATGCGGAATCCAAAATAGGTTCATATGCATGAAGTAGACATAATACTGCACTAACTTAAGGGAAATCCAGGAAAAGGTATACTCTTTAGAAGAGACCATGGAATAACTCTAGAAACATACACAGATGTAGATTATGCAAAATCATCAGTAGATAGAAGATCAACCTCTAGATACTGCACGTTTCTTGGAGGGAACCTAGTTACATGGAGGAGCAAGAAATAGAATGTGGTGGCAAGAGCTAGTGCAAAAACAGAATATAAAGTTATGGCCTTGGAAATATGTGAGTTACTATGGATCAAGATATTTCTAGAAAACCTAAGAATCAAGTGGAATGATCCCATGAAACTATATTATGATAATAAATCAGCAATCAGTATAGCGCACAATCCAGTCCAGCACGATAAGACCAAACACATAGAAGTGGACAGACATTTCATTAAAGAAAAACTGGACAGTGGTCTAATGTGTAAACCATGTTTCATCAAAAGATAAACTTGCAGATATCCTTACTAAAGAATTGGACAACTCTGCCTTTCTCAGAATGATTGACAAGCTTGGAATGACAGTCTATATTTCCTAGCTTTTCCAAGCTTGAGAGGGAGTGTTGAAATCCAGTTGTTTCTAGTGCAAAGGATCCGACAGTCACAGAGAGCAATCCGTGGAAAACTCTCATGAATCACGACAGAGATAATTGACTCCTTTCCATAATAAAAGAACTAACTTAGGAAAAAGTATATTAGAGATATTATGTGTTAAATATATAATTAGTTGTTTCTTTATTGAGATATCTTGTATAGATCTATAAAATATGGAAGAAATTATGCAATAAAGCTAAGCTTTTCCCTCTCAAATTCCTAGTTTTAACAGAATTCAACTGCTAAAAACATGTATTCATACCACCTATTGCACTTACTTAAAAAAATAAACAACATAATCTCCTGAGATGAATTTTAATAAACTACTATTATCATATTATATGATATTATTACGCACAACAATAAAATTAAATACGTTCAAAATATGCAAAGGTTATATAGTAAATAAACAATAAACGACTGCTAATCAGTTTTTAAATTATATCAAAACAACTTAAATGAAAAGGATATTGAGCGTCAAATTTTGCACGAAGAGCAAGCTTTTTAAGCCTTCGCTCCTCCACTTCAGGATCTTCCATCTCTATAACTTCATCTTCTTTAGCATCATCTACTGACTGGTTTTTGAACACATCACCTGTTTCCAGATCTTCAAAATCACCATAAAGGGCTTCCTCCTCTTCTTCTTCAGCATCTCCCTCTTCACCTCTTTTAGCAGCCTTAGACCAATCTCCTGTGACAAAACGATCACGGATATTACTGATGAGGTCTTCATTAGACCAGTCCTTGAGTTGTGGAATAACCAATTTGGAGCAGTCCTCAACATCGATATCATCATAGTCAGGTTTCTCAATGATCCTCTGCAGGAAATACATGAAGCAGGATTAAAATTATTTTCCCCTCATAAGAATAGCACATCTTAATCTCGGTGAGGAGTGTACGTAAAATGAATTATGAGATCTAGAAAATCCAATGATTAGCTTATTCAAAGAGTAACATGAGAGATAACAAGTCTAGATAAATTGCCAAATTGATAAAAAGTGGTTAGAGTTACCTTGTCCCACTCACTTTTTGGTATGAAAAATTCATCATCATCACTATCTTCACTATTGCTACCTGTTATTACCCCAGTGCTTACGGGGTTAGACGAAGAATGTTCATATACAAGTTGCATCAGATTAATATTTTGCCTCGTCCTTGCTCTGGCAATCAAAGACTCCTTCCACTTTGAATCATTTCCTCTCTCTGCATCTTTGTTATTAATTTCAGAAAATAATTATTCACCAAAATAGAATAATTGATGGCCACAATAAAAAATCTAGCATCTTCTACCAAATAACCTACCTTCCACACTAGTGTCCAAAACAGACATAAAAATGTCCATTCGAACAAATAGATACAAAAACGATAAGGATGGCCATGAAAAAATTCACGATGACCGTTATAGAAATGAGCAAGAAGAGCAGCAGCAATAATATAAAGGAGTCCAAGAATATATGCAGATATGCATCCCACTTAATCAACCAAAACTGACTACACAGTGCAAAAAAATAAAGTACCTGAGTCCGTGCCCTCAACACTGCCGTCAGAAGATTCTGAACTGAGATTCAACTGGTTATCTGCATCATCTTCTTCAGAATCCTGCAAGAAAAGTTAGCCACTATGAGGTCAGATAATCCTCAATTGGGGATATGAACTTTAGACAACAAGGAAAATCAAAGTAGAAAAATAGCTCACAGTACCAATCATTTTAAAAATTAAGCAGAAAGGCAAGGCAAACGTGTGCCAAACATTACTAATACAACAACAACATCAAACCTTTATCCCACCATGTGAGGTCGGCTACATGAATCATTTTTCTCCGGTGCATCCTGTTAAAAGTCAAATTTTCCTTTAAATCTAATAAAGAAAAGTCATTTCTAATATTTTCTAACCAAGCCTTTTTAGGACGACCTCTATCTTTCTTAAAATAGGCCAAATCTAATACATCTACTCTCCTAAAAAGATCATCGGAAGGCCGCCGTTTTACATGACCAGACCATCTAAGGCAACTCTCTCTAATCTTATCTGTCACTGAAGCTACTACAACCTTTTCACGGATATGCTCGTTTCATATCTTGTCTCTAAGAGTAAATCCACTCATCCACCTGAGCATCCTCATCTCAGCAACACTTAACTTAATATTATGCTTCTCTTTTAATGGCCAACATTCTGCGCCATAAAGCATTGCATGTCTCATCACCATCTTATAAATTTTTTCCTTAAGTTTGAGTGGTACTTTTCTATCATACAACAGACCCAAAGCATTCCTCAACTTCAACCATTCAACTTGAATTCTACTAATAATATCGCCATCTATTTCAAGAATGACAGAGATCAGAAAAATGTGCTGATATAGCCAAGTAAAATATAGAGCTAAGGAAGCTTAGCTAGCATAAAGATTAAAGGTAATATAGAAAGTATATGAGATGCAGCATGCTTATGAAAAAGATCTAACTAGTTAAAAATGGCGACCATAAATGAATCAAAAGTAGACTATCCAATAAAAACCAAATCTGTTGGATTGGCATCCCACTAACGCTATTGAATGAATGAATAGATCCTATCGTTCAAAACTGGGGAGTATAACTCTTATAGGAAGCAAGGATGCTAAAGATGAAAAAAAAATATATTTGGATAGTACAATAGCTGCAGCTGGTGGAAAAATAAATGTCCAGCGCACTAAGCAAAAAATGTTACGATCAAAATTTTATAACTTCAAAACTGGGAAATTCGGATAACAAACTAACTGCTACAACGCAAGGGATAAGAGGATGGAATATTTGCAGCAGCGGAGTCAAAAACTCCCCCATGTAATACAGACACCAGCAGAGGCCCAACAAAAAGAAAATGAACAATCAAAATCCTGGAAAAAAAATTATGCATATCATAAAATGAAAGCAAGTTTATTCCAAATCCAACATTTATAACCAATCCGTAAATCCAATTCATTACCATCCCTACCATGTTAAGCATAATTTACATCAAGCATAATTTGCAACCAACTTAACTACCGCAGGCAGGAAGTAAAGGATCTCAGAAGTATTAGTACCTCTAAATCTTTAAAATTAGTAGAAATGGCTTTTCGTCTCATCCTTCCATTGTGGAATTCAGCTTTTTCTTGATCATGGTTAAAAAGAATTTCCTGATCAACTTCATCATGATTGCCTTCTGATTCATAATCACTTTCTTCAACAGAATCGTCAGACTCAATTTCCCTCGTCATATCACTTTTCTCAATTTTAGCATTCTCTTTGAAGCTTGAGCTGTCCATGGGATCAATATGCACACCCTCAACACTATCTTTCACTGGCAGATTCCTGGTTATTTCAGCTCCAACTGTAGTTCTATCTTCTGAAACATTTGCATCTTGCGATGAACTAAAAGGTTTCACGTTAAAGAGATTGATGAAACTTTTGTCCAACTTCTCATCTATTGAATATCTAGTAGTCTGGAGTGTTTTCACCAATGCTTCACCTATATCATGGTCCTTACCTGCAAATAAATAAAGCAATAAGTACTAGAAAATGCTCATTTTAATCAATGGGGTAACACAACCATGTTATTATCAAGACAACACTAAGCCTTCAAAAGGAAAATGTAATATCACTAAAAAGTACAATTTGAAAATCATATTCCAGTTTTAAGAATCTTAATTGGTCCATGCATGCATTAAATTCAATGCTTTCAAGCATGGTTTAAAATTGCGCAATATGAGGCTCGCCTTGAGGCCCGCCTATGCGCAATTCCAGTAAAAAACGCCTCGATGCTTACGCCTCGAGTTCTTTTTATGAGGCTTGCGCCTCAACTTGGTTGAGGCCCGCCTTGAAGCCCGCCTCGCCCCACTGGCATGAGGCTTACGCCTCACGCTATATATATTAAAACTTACATAAATCTTGAAGTAAATGTCCGACATTTGACTCTATAGAAGAGGAGAAAGGGGAGAGAGCAATTCACCATAATGATGATTCAAATGAAGAACCCCTTAGTGATTACAGTGCTGATGACTTATGAGTTCTTATGTGATATGTCATTGCTATTTATTTTTGGAAATTG